GTTACAAGGCAGGAAAATTTTGGTTTATTAAATCGGTTTAATATACTAGAAACTGGAATTTTTATTGCGCTTTGGGATACAATTTTTCAGAGAATGAAGAAAACTACCAAGCTTCTGCAGAGTTCAACACTGAATGTAAATACAGCTGCTTTTTATTGCATTCCTTGAGAGATTTTATAGAATCACTCTGCACAGATTCAGCCTATTTGACGAGCAAGACATGATGTTAAGTAATATAAAGATTTATAAAGAAGATAGTAGCAGAAAGAAGAAAAAGAAAGTTCAATTTTACGAAGGATTAGTCGAGGATGAATGCTATGACAACTCGGGTCAGACCAAATTCAGAAGAAACGCATTTTTCTCCATTCTCGACAAATTTATCAATACCCTAATTCAACGCGCACATGCAAGTTCTGCTGTTTGTAGCAAATTTGGTTTTTTGAACAATTTAACTAATTTATCCCCTGACGCAATAAAGGAACAATATGAAAATGTCAGGATGGCTCACAGTGAAAACATTAAATAAGTTTAAAAGATGAAATGGTTCATTTTTCTAAAAATTCAATTCGCCAAATTTGCAGAACAGTTTAAGGATGAAGATTACAGTAAAGAGTTATTAATTTACAAGTTGATAATTGACCATGGACTGAAGGAAGCATTTTCCAATGTCGAAATTACATTTTTTATTTAATTGAGTCTGATGGTGTCCAATTGTCCAACTGTCTTGTAAAAGGCCTCCTAGGCAAAGACTTTAGGGGTAAGCAGAAAAACTCTGCTAACCAGCCTCGAACCCCTTCTTCATCTATTAGGCTGGCGTAGATGTAACCTGTGTTACATTGTTTCCTGCCTAGGATGATGAATGCTGGATCTCCTTGACTCTACTCATAGAATTTTGCTTATGCCTCCTTGATAATGGCTATGCAACTCTTCCTGTTATCTCCATATGAGGGTACAGCTCTAAAACTCAGTTTAATGGTTCTGAGGCCGGCTGGTAGTAAGGTTTCCCAAACTCTGTGGTAGCTCTCAGAGAGGCTGATACCATCAACAGCTGCAAAATATCAGAGTATTAACAGTGCCATGTTGTGCATGGATGGTGTCCCTGTTAACGCTTTTGATGTGCATTGTCAAGGCCACATAGAGAGCCCTATGTCACGGCTTAGGGTTAATTAACAGGACTGAGACAACTGCATAGCTCATTGATTAGGAGGCTGTGCTCTATCTATGAATGAGTCAAGTTCTCATTAAACCCAAATCATGACCAAAGTAACCAAAAATTTAAAACCTAAAAAACCATCCCCACCACCTAAATATTTTAATATATCTTTTACAAATATTCGCGGTCTACGAAGCAACTTTCCATCAGTTGAGTCTTACCTCCTGCAGACTTGCTTGCACTCAGTGAAACAAATTTAAGTTCTGCAATTCCTTCTTCAGATGTCAGTGTTGATGGGTACTATCCTTTGATTCGTAAAGACTCCAATATTCACATGCTAGGTTTAGGGGTATACATACGCATTAATTCCCCTTTTAGTTGTGAAATTAGGTTCGAATCCTGATCCTGCTGGCACTAAAGCCTTTTGCTTCTGCGTTTCTCAATCTCTTACTCAGATAGTTAACTTTGTGACTCGTTTTCCTGACAACACTAATCATTTACCTTCACTCCTTGACTTATGTCTTGTCTCTGACCCTAGCTTATGTTCAGTTTCTCCCTTTTCTCCCTTAGGTGGTACTGACCATGCAATGATCTCTATAAATCTTTCTTCTCGTACTTCTTTTTTGGGCTCACCTTATTATCGCACCACCTACTACTAAACTAAAGCTGACTGGGATTCCTTTCGTGATTTTCTTCGTGATGGTCTTTGGGCTGATGTTTTTTCTCTCTCAGCTGACAAATGCACCTCCTACGTAACCTCCTGGATTCAGGCTGGAATGGAAGCTTTTATTCCTTCTCGTCGGTTTCAAGTCAAGCCTCATTCTACTCCATGGTTTTCTCTATCTTGTGCGGCTGCTATATCCAATCGTAATCATTTTTCATCTTTTTCAAAAGAACAACTCTCTTGAGAACAAACGGCTATATATTATTGCAAGAAATCGATGTAAAAGGGTGCTTTCTGATGCTAAACTCTATTATTCTCAGTTCACTAAATCTCGCATCTTATCACAGAAGTTAGGCTCTAAAGACTTTTGGAAAATCTTCAACAGCATTATTAACAAGGGTAGATCTAACATTCCATCTCTCATTCATGGGACTGATCTTATTACCTCTCCCAAGGATAAGGCAGAACTATTTGCAAAGAACTTTTCTTCTAATTCCACTCTTGAATCTTATGGACATTCTCTTCCTTCCATTCCAGTCAAACAGGTTGACCCATTGTTAGACATTCAAATCACTCCGGCTTCTGTTGCTAAAGTCATATCTCAATTAAACTCGTCTACTGCTTGTGGTCCAGACAACATTCCTGTCACAGTCTTGCAGAATTGTTCTCCAGAACTTTCTTCAATTCTCTCTAAACTATTTAACAAGTGTTTGACTGAGTCTTGTTTTCCTGCTTGTTGGAAAATGGCATCTGTGGTTCCAACATTCAAAAACTCTGGAGAAAATTCTGACCCTTCCAATTATCGTCCGATCAGTCTTCTTTCTGTTATTAGCAAGGTCTTTGAGTCTTTGATCAACAAATTCCTCACATCTCATCTTGAGTCAAATAAACTACTGTCAGACAATCAATACGGTTTTCGATCCTCTCGCTCTACGGCCGACTTGCTAACTGCTGTAACTGAAAGATTTTATCGTGCATTAGGTGGACGCGGTGAGGCTAGGGCTATTGCTCTCGACATATCTAAAGCTTTCGACAAAGTTTGGCATGCTGGTCTTCTCCATAAGCTTGCTTCATATGGTGTTTTTGGGAAAGTTTTGAGATTATCAAATCATTTCTTTCTAACTGGTTTATTAAAGTCATCCTTGAAGGTCAACACTCTTCTTTATTTCCAGTAACTTCTGGGGTTCCCCAAGGTTCCATCTTGGACCCTGTTTTGTTTCTTATCTACATAAACAATCTTCCTGACAACCTTTCATCTAAAGTAGCTCTTTTTGCTGATGAATCAACTTTATACTCCTGTCTTGACAAAAAGTCTTCTCTTTTCGATCGCCTAGAACAAGCAGCTAATCTTGAATCCGATCTCACTTCAGTAATAGATTGGGGTTCACAGTGGCTTGTGAATTTCAACTCTAAAAAAACCCAGTTGTTTACTGCAAACAACTACCGTAATATGGTTAACATTCCTATATTAATGAATGGCAATCCTCTTACTGAGTCCTCCTCTTTACGTCTTCTTGGATTATCGCTTACTACTGACCTTTCATGGAAACCATATATACAATCGATTGCTAAATTAGCTTCTGCTAAGGTTGCTTCTCTTTATCGTGCTCGCCATTTTCTTACTTCTGATTCCATTCTCTACCTCTACAAATCTCTTATTCGTCCCTGTATGGAATACTGTTGTCATATTTGGGCTGGTTCTTCTAACGATTCACTTACTCTTTTTGACAAGGTCCAAAAACGCATTGTAAATATTGTTGGACCTGGACTATCTGCTAAGCTTGAACCTCTTTCCCATCGTCGTAAAGTTGCATCTCTTTCTCTTTTCTACAAATACTATTATGGTCACTGCTCAAAGGAGTTATCATTTCTAGTTCCATCAACTAAAATTCATTCTCGTTTTACTCGTCATTCAGCTAAGTCTTATTCATTTACTGTATCTGTCCCTGCATGCTCTAAAAACTTTTATTCATCTAGTTTTTTTCCCCGCACTTCAATCCTTTGGAACTCTCTCCCATCTTCATGTTTTCCTGACTCATGCAACCTTCAACTTTTCAAGTCTTTTGTCAACCGTTTCCTTGCTCTATAACTCTGTTATTTTTTTTTTCCTAGTAACTCCCAACTTAATAGTGGTTGCTTGCGGCCATGTTGGGAGTGAATGCAAAAGAAAAAAAAAAAAAAAATTGTACAGGAGAAAGAAGTTTTTCTGAATTGAGTAGAATTAAGAATAAACTGAGATTAACAATGACACATAATAGATTAAATAAATTGTTACTGATGTCAATTATTTTTCAATAAATTTCGATAAAGTGGTAAAAACATTTGCTATAAAAAAAGCGAGGAAAATGATGCCAAACGATACCCAAGAACTAACTTAATTTTGGAATTTTCTATAATATTGTTGTCTAAAATAAACGATACACCATGGATATAAATAACAACAAATATCAACGTCCAGGTATTAAACTAATTTACTTACTATAGACCCCGCAGAATAATTGGCCTCAGTCCCCTCGTGTGCCTAATCCGCCTGGATGGAATAGTAAAAACTACATGGGCAAATACCTTTGAAATAATAATATATGTGGAGTGAAATTATAACCTGTTGATAAAATACAGTTTATAACTGTAAAATAAAGGTGTGGGGCAAAACTATTGGAACATTTTGCTTTTAGACTAACCACGCAATATTTATTTAGAATAATCATTAACTTTATGAAAATAAATTTGGAAAAACTTAAACAGTTGTTTTATATTTCAAAGATATACATACTTCACTTTAAAAAAATTGATAGATGCCCTACTGATAACTGATAAAATAGATGTTTCACATCGTAATGATGCCACTTGTTTCATTGCAGCAAAGAAATGATTATTGAATTTCTTTTTTTTAAATTTTTCCTGTACAATAGTCACAACTAATGGTACCCATGATTTCGTCCTATGATATCTTCCCTAATACTAATGATATCTTCCCTAATACTAATGATATCTTCCCTAATACTAATGATATCTTCCCTAATACTAATGATATCTTCCCTAATACTAATGATATCTTCCCATTTGGAGAGTCATACCTTATTTTTTATATAATAAAAAATCAATGAAGGTAGTTTACAAAATTATAATGATGAAAAGAAGCAACAAATGTTTAAAATATTTTTCGTCACTCTTTGCTTATAGATCCGAAAGTATACGCAGATCGGCTATTTACTTCTTTTGATCGATCAAATAGAGGAAAGCTCAATTTTGAGGTGAAACTTTTTAAATTTAATTTATTTGAAAATTTATGAAAATTTAATATTAGCCTTTTACTTTTTTACAACAATTTCAAGATATCTAGCAAACCTTTTGCATTTTTTAAATAAGGGTACCATTTTTTAGCCTATAATGTTTCCTATAACATTAATAACAAAATAAGATTTTAAAATAAGATATTGAAAAAAAGATTACTAATATTATATCAATCGAACCTTTAACAGGTTATGGTTGACATGAAGGTTTGCAGGTGCTTCAGCCCTCCCCCTCCCCCCACACACACACACATACACGCACACACTTTTTTGTATGATGTGTTAAAATGATATATTTGTTTAGTTGCATAAATTTTTTAAACTTTCATAATATAAAAAAAAGAGTAAATCAGTTATCTGAGTCCAAGTACCATCTTATATTATTAGTTACATTTAAATCGATGTTTAATATTAAATAATCAATATATATCTTTATAAGAAAGGAAAAATAAACAAAGACAGTATAATCTTGTCACTAAGCAACGTTTTTATTTTTAAATAAACTTTAATAAATAATTTTATTATTTAATAAAGATTTTCTGTTATAATTTATTTTACATAAATTAAAACAGATATCTTCATCTATTATCTATTAGAAAGAATATTCTTTATATGTTATCTAAAAGAATAATTGTTTTTACATCTGAAAACAATATTGAAAAATTACGCTTTGCAGAACTCAAGTCATCGCTTAAATATTTTGAATACTTTGATTTAGTATTATAGCAAAAAAACATTACATCATGCAAAATCGCATGAACCAGTATCACATAAAAAAAAACTGAAAAAAATTTACTTTAGTGACGTCATTCTTTAGCAACCTTAATTGTCAATCTTTTGTAACTGAAACTTTTTCATAAAGTCAAGGGTAAATCTGGGATGTTGTGGGATGTGGGGTTTTTTGTAATGACATCGCAAATGGTGGTTGCTTTTTTTTAATAAAAAACTTTTTTAAAGAGGAAAAAAGAAGAAAGAAAAAGAAAACTTTTTTTTTATTAATGATATATAAACCAATAATAAATAAATATATACAGTTATTTATTATTGATTTTGATTTTCATTTTAGCCATTTATTGTATATGTTTTATTATACCGTATTAGTTTTAATATTTTTATTATCATATATATTTTTTATTTATTTATTTATTTTTAATTTTAGGTCATTTTTTTTTTGTGTGTGTGATTTTTTGTTTTGCTAAAAGTAGTTAACGTACTTTTTGTTTTTTTTGTAATGTTTGTTATAAACTTTGTTTTGTTTTGATTTTCTTCGTGTTTTTCTGTTAATATTTTCTTTATCTATTTTGTCATAATGTTTGTAATATACTTTGGTTATTATATTATAACTCAGATAAAACTCTTTTTTTTTTTAATCAACACTTACTTCCTTGGATCTTGCTCGAAAACCATATTTCAAATCGACTCCAAAATTAACATCTGCTAAGGTTGTATCTCTTTATCGTGCTTGCCACTTTCTTACTTAAGATTCTATTCTTTATCTCTATATATCTCAAGTATGTTTTTGTATGGAATAAAGTTGTCATCCCTCAGGCGGATCTTTCGATGATGCCCTCTCTCTATTAGACAAGGTAAAAAAACGCATTGTGAACATAGTTGGATCTGATTATGCAGCCTACCTCCAACCATAATCACATTGTCGTAATGTTGCTTCTATATCTTTTTTACATTAATAATATAATGGACACAGCTCTAAAGAGCTAGCTTCTTTTGTTCCATCTACAAAAATCCATTTTCGTGTTACTCGTCATACAATTAAGTCTCAACCGTTTACTATGACTAAGTGCTCTAAATATTCTTATTCGACTAGTATTTTTTCTCGAACTTCAGTTTAGAATTCGCTTCATATGTTGCTTTCCTGATTAATATAATTTATAATCTTTTAATTTATAATCATATAATTTGCAATCTTTTAAGTTGTCTTTTGTTTTCTTACAAACTAAAGTTGACCTCAAATCTAATAGTAGTCGCTTACAGCCTTGTTGGAAGTAAAAATATTAAAAAAGAAAATTTATTTGCTCCTTTCATTTACGTTAAATGTTGTTACTGACAACTGAAAATTGCCCCTATAACATCATTTTTTAAACCTCGAGAAAAGTCAAATATTTTAAATTACAGGCCTATATCCATTCGACCTTGTTTTTCAAAAAGAAAGAATAATGTAAAACAAGCTATATAAATATCTAGCTGAGAACAACATGTTGCATTGAATTAGGTTGCAATTGCAAGGAATTAGGTTTTAAAAAAAAAATTCAACTAAACACGCAGTAGTTTAACTTTTCGATCAAATATTGAGCACTTTTGATAATGACAGGTTTACATTAGGAATTTTCATTGATCTGTCAAAAGCTTCTGATACCGGATATTACTAAATACTGAAAAAGTGAGATATTTAAACGCGTTTAAATAGTGAGATATTTAAACGCGTTTAAATAGTGAGATATTTAAACGCGTTTAAATGGTTAGATACTTAAACGCGTTTAAATACCTCAGTGAGAACAAAGATAATCAGAATTATCAGCAAACAAAATTAGGTCTAAATGATTTGTTACTAAGTATATGTTGTTTATGTACAATAGAAATAAAAGTTGTCTTAAAATGGAGTCCTGAGGAATCCCGTAAGTTATGGAGTATGGAATTGTATTATTTTAATCATAGTATAAAAATTGCTTTCTGTTTGTCAAATACCCTTTAAAATAATTTTTTTAAATAGTTTGTGTGCACTTATGTAAAGTTAATGAGTGGTTCGTAAGTAACAAACTTTCACTAAATGTAGATAAAACAAAAGATATATCTTGCCATAAAGTTCGCAAATCAAAAAACATTTCTCTTAAATTACTAAATATTTTAATAATAATACTCAAATAAAAAGGGAACCATAGGTAAACAATTTAGGAGTAACACTGGACGAAAATTTACGGCGGTATTCATATACAATATAATGTATATAAGTGGTATTCATAATTTAATGTAAATAGCATTAAAATAAAACTCTCAAAAAATTTTTACAATGTTAAAGGCTAAACTTTTTCTAAATATAACACCCCAGAAAAAATTCCATTTTGCCTTTATTCACAGATATTTATCTTAACTTTAATATTGCGTGGGCTAGTACAAACAATAACATGAGTACAGAATAATGTTTGGAGCCAACAGAAAAGCTTCTTTAGAATCGCTTTTGTGTGCTCAGTGCCTAAAATGTGTATAAGCTTAGACCAAGTTTTTTAATGTCTCCAAAAATCGTTCAAACTTATTTTAGTAAAATTTATAAACAAAAACTGAAAAACGTTTTCAATTAACAATTTTTTTTTCAAATATAATTTGAAATTAATATTTTATTCAATTAAATACCCCTGACCTTACTGTAAAAAAGTTCCCAGTATATATGTATATATATATAGAAGTATTATTTTTTAGTATGAATTTTTGTTAACTGTAATAAGCTCAGCCGATTGTGTACTTTATGGTTGAAGTGTAGTAATTGAATTTTAGACTCTCAAGCAAACTTGATATGGTGTAATTCAATTGTAAAACATTGTGAGTTTTTATTTAAGTACAAATAAATGTTTATTTAATTACTTATTTAACATTTTTTAAATATATAAAGGTTGTGTAAGTTAAAAAAAGCATCACATTACACAAAAACTACCAAATATAAGTTTAAACAGAAAGTGTGCCTATACATTTATACGTTTAAAAATTTTTTTTAATATTTAAAAAAAATTAAAATTGATGTCTTGCAAGTTTTGAAAAAGGTTTTTTTCAAAACTTGCAAGACATCAATAAAACAGGCAAGAGAGTTAAAATGGGGGAAGATTATATAGAAAGTTAAAGAGAATTAAAATGGGTGAAAATTATATAGAAAGTAAAAGTAATAATCAGCATCTTTTTTTTTAAAGAAATACAAAAATAAACTGTAAACTTGGTGTAAAACAGCTCATTAGCAAAAATTAAAATGATGTCTTTGAATAAATAAAATAGTGTTAAAGTACATTGTAAAAATAGAAAAAGTTTTTAATGTAATTTATGAAACTTTACTACCAATTAATTAGATTGTTAGAATTAATGAATATCCTTAAATTTTTAGACCTCTGTTTTTAACCAGCTTCAAGTTTTGATAATCAGTTATAAAAAGAAGGACGTTCATTCAGAAAAAAAACAGGGTGATTATTCATGAAAAAATGAGGGTAAGGAAACACAATAATACAAAATGTAAAGGACATTTACTAGCACTAAAGAAAACAGGAATTTAAAGTTTTTCGTTAACCTATCAAACATTTGCTGCTTTGCTCCACTGATCGTCAAAAATAAAATTTTCTCTGAAAACAATTTTAGATTTTAAAATTTCAGAAAGTTTAAATCTTTTACACTAGACATAAAAATATTGAGTGAAAACAGAAGAAATCCCATAAAAATATTGAGTGTCTATAAAATAGAAGAAATCCCATTAGCCAACTTTGATAAAAGTTGAGATTTTATGTTGATGCCCTCATACAAAATCCAAACTCTCTGTAAAGAATTTTTTTTTGTTCTTTTTTTTTTTTTTGTTCTTTTTATTACATTTTAAATAAGCATTTTGTTACAATATTTAAAATACAAATAAATAATAATAAAGAAAAAATATATATAATGATCGTTATTAAATACGTTATTAAAAACGCGGGGACTAGTAGAAGATCTTACGGTCTTGTCGTCGAGTACCGCTAAGAAATGTTCGCGTAATAATTTATTAGATATTTACAAGATAAAAAATAAGTAACGTAAGAAACTTAAAATATTCCGTTACAAATACAAGATACAATATTACATATATAATTTTTATAAATTCATGTTTAAATAGAGTATAAAATGGAAGATCACTAAAAAAATATCAAAAGTATATTGTTTTATTATAAGAAAAATAGTTACTTTAATGAATGAAATCCTCAGTAAAATTTTTTAAAACTATTTTATTCCATAAAAATGGTTTGCGATAATCAATACAAAATTTAAAAAGATTTGTTTGAAAAATGGGCTGCTTAATAAAATTATCATTGCGTAAAATGTATTTATTTTTATCTTTTGATGAATACAAGTTATGGAAAGAGGTCGGGGATGAATTGGTTTTACAGTTAAACATAAAACAAAGAATATTAAAAGTATTAAGCTCATATATATTCAAAACTTTCATTTCAAATAGTAAAGACTTGGCATGAGTATAACAATCTTTAAAATATATAAGGTGTGCTACATGCTTCTGCTGACAATAATGAGGTTTAAGTTTATTTTTATTTGTACTACCCCAAGCAATGTTTGCATAGTTTATGTGACAATGAGTAAATGAGTGATATAATTGTACCAAAGTAAGTTTATTTAAAATATCTTTTGCTTTGTACAATATTCCTGTATATTTTGAAATTTTACTTAATAAGTTTTTAATGTGATTTTTCCATGAAATATTCTCATCTATACAAACACCTAGAAAGTTGGTTACTATTACTTGTTTAATTTGTATACTGTCAATAGCAAGATAAGGCATGTTAATTGGCAATTTATGTTTTTTAATGAGAGGATGGAAAAGAATCCATTTAGTTTTGTCAATTTTAAGAGATAATTTATTGGTCTAAAACCAGTCAGATATTTTGATTAACTCAATGTTCACGGAATGAAATAGAGTAGGAATGCTTTTGTGTGATATAAATAAATTAGTGTCATCAGCAAACATAATTATTATTAAATCCGAGGCTTTGTATAAATCATTTATATAAGTAAGGAAAAAAAGAGGTCCTAATATGGATCCTTGAGGAACTCCACATGTAATATTCAACAAATTTGATGAAAATGTTTCATTGGCGCAAACAAATTGTTTTTGATTAGTTAAACAACTTTTCAAACCATTTTAAAACATTGTCTGTTATACCATAGAATTTTAATTTTATAGCAAGAACTTTATGATTAAACGCTTTTGCTAAATCAATAAATATTCCTAATGTGAATTTAGAATTTTCAAATAAGTCTGATATACTTCTTGTGGGCTGAATAATAGCATGCTCTATTGAATTATTTTTTTAAAATCCATATTGCATGTTATATAATTTGTTTGATAATAGGTGATTATACATACAATTATATTTGTACAACAGAATATATATATTCTGTTGTACAAAATTCTTTCTAAAATTTTAGAAAAAACAGAGAAGATAGAAATTGGACGATAGTGTTTTACATTAGTTTTTTCTCTTTCTTTAAATATAGGAATAATTTTTGCTATTTTTAAATCATCAGGAAAAACTCCCTGATTAATAGAGCATTTAAAAATTTGGAAAAGTATGTCTTTTAAAACGTCAAAACAGTTTATAATAACCTTCCCATTGACATCATCTGGACCAACTGCTTTATTTGACTTTAACAATTTAAAAGCACTTTAAAACTCTTTAAAAGACAAATCAAAAAAGTTTAGATACGAGTTTAGACGGTCATATGTTGCCTTTATTAATTTTTTAAGGTTTGGAATTTTTTCGGCTAGGTTTGGTCCTACAGATACAAAATTTTTATTAAATTCGGATGCAATTACTTTTTGATCCAGAAAAAAATTATCACCTACTTTAATAACATTTTTTTAGTTTTATCAGTGATTTCGTTTAATTTGTATATTTCAAGTAAATTAGTGTAGTATAATGTTTTTGAATTTTTCCTAAGGCGTTTAAATAGTCTTCCGTAATTTTTATAAATGGTCTTACTCTTTGATTTTAAATATATAATATAAAGTTTTTGCTTAGTTTTAGAAGATTTTAGAACACCCTTAGTAATCCATGGCGATTTAATTTTTTTATTTTTGTAATTTATTTCTACTTTGGGAAAATTAATGTCATAAATTTCGTAAAGAAAGATTTGTATATTAAATTAATGTCTTCAGAAAAGTTAATAATGATCCAATTAACTAAAGAAAGTTGATTAAACCACCGCCGCGTTTATTTGTTTTCCTCACTAATGAAATCAAATTATAGCCCGGTGTTTTAAAATTAATATCTAAATTTGAGTCATCAGAACTACGCCAAATTTCAGTTAGGCATGTTACACTAAAAAAAGTTAGATTTTCCTCAAAACTGTTGCAAAGATTTTCAAAATATTTTTGTAAACTTCTTGTATTTATATGAATTGCATTAAACACTCCCAAAAAATTCTTTTATTTTAAAATTATAAAAATAGCTCCAGTTGCTTTGTAAAGCATCAGCTTCACTAAAATAACTTTGATCCGGATCAGACTCTTTGTATAAAATCATTGAAATGAAAAGTATCAAAATATTTAGATCGACTTGAATTCATTTTAGTATTTAAAAACGATAAAAATTAAGAAAAATAATAATAAAGATAAATTCAGTAACTTTAAGATAAAAGAATTTTTTAAAAGTCTCGCGTTACAAGTTTATTATATACAACTTTAGCATATTTACCTTTGGCTCTCAAATCTTTTGCTTTTTTAAATAACCGTTTTCGCAATTCTAAAGTTCTTTCGCTGTAGTCTTCGTTTACATAAAATCGATCATTTCACAATAACTGAACATAGTTACCCATGCAGTTTTTTTGTCTTTGTAGTTTAAAAATTTAACTATTATGGTTCTGTTGTACTTTTTTCCATCGCTACTTTTTTTTACCCGTCCTGTGCACCCGTTCAATTTCAACATTACCTTTAAATCCAAGTTCTGTCTTTAAAACATTTTGAATCTTTTCTTCGCTAAATTCCCACGTTTCATTTTCGTCTTCTTCAATTCCCGTAAATTGTATTTTCTTCTTGAAGATTAAATAGCTTAATTTCTATTTTGTCAAACTTCTCATTAAATATTTTTAATTAAGTATTATCATGAATATCTAATAGGTCTTTAATTTGAGAAACGGTAAATTTAGCCATTTTTAATTAAGTTTACAAAAGCACGTCCGTTCACGTCAAAAGTTTTTGCGTGAATGCGTGAATTATTAACGCTCAAAAAGAAGTCTCCCAAAATAAATTTATAAAGAATTTTTTTAATATCCTGAAATCATTCCTCCGTTATATATTATAAAAAAAAAATGATAAAAAAAATTAATAAAAAATTCATTAAAAACCACTTGATATTTAAAAGTTATTGAAAGCTAGACCAAATAAATAATTAGAAAATTTGTCATCGCAAATTATTTTTTTAAGTTTTAAATATACATTAAATTTAAATATATATTAAAATATAGTTTATATACCTCTTATACCATGTTATATAATAACAGAAAGAAGCAAATGGAGCAATGATTAGAGGTAGTCGGTAAAATGCGAACTGCGAAGCGCGAACTGCGAACCGGTAAAATGCGAACATTTTTGCGAACCAAGACACTACCACTACGGTTAATATATTTAAAAAAACTTTTGCTCGTCAATTTTTTAATTTAAGTTAAATATAGTGTAATTTTACATATTTTATTTAAATTAGATTGTATTTCTTTTAAATTAAATTTATTTTATGTTTCTGCTTGAAGTCCATAAAATTATAGTAATATAAACAATTCAACGGTAAACGGAAAATAAAAAATATTACATCATAAACAACCAATAGAACTATGGTTCGCAAAAAAGTTCGCATTTTACCGGTTCGCAGTTCGCGGTTCGCAGTTCGTATTTTACCGACTACCATGACTAGAATATGCTGACTGTATAAACAAAAGATCCGTAAAACGGAAAAGAAATACAGGAAACATTAAAAGATAACCGGATAAACAAACATCATCACCCTCAAATATAAATAAATAAATATAGTCAGATCATCATTCGCAAAACATGCCCAGAGGTAGGGTTTGAACCACGGAACCACAATCCTTTGTTTCTGAGGCAAGTGCGCTGCCACTGCGCCATGGCTACTCTGTTGGAGCTTATAAACAAAAAAAAATGTGCTTGCACTTTCTTTTTTTTTTTTTTCACGTGATTTACGATTTAAATATAATTGGTTTTCGCTCGTAGCAATCATCTTTAATTATCTTTAACTAATCTCTATTAATAAAAATGATTAGTAATTTTTTAAAGCTGCTCACAAAAGAATAACATTGGTTATTTCTCAAAATTTTTTAAAGGATTTCGTGATTGGGTTATCTAAATGTTTGCATGGTTCATGTGTAGATAAACTGCGCTGGGCTTTTAAACTCTACGACCTAGACGGAAATGGATTAATAGGAAGAAACGTAAGTAAAAAAAAAGTATTTTATTTTTCAAATCTTCATTTTTATTTTTTATTTTTTCCTTGACGTTAATTAGTTTGAATGTCAAATGACGATTCGTCATTTGACATTCAAACTAATTAACAGTTTGACTAATCCTTACAAATACTTCTACATAAGTCCTTACAAATACTCCTGCGCAAATCCTTACAAATACTCCTTCTCAAATTCTTACAGAAACTCCTGCGCAAATCCTTACAGTAAAAATACTTCTGCGCAATTTCCTCTTAATTACAACAGAGTCGAAATCAAAAAGTCGAAATCTAACTGTAAGTTAGCTATTCCCTTTTATTTTTCTACTTTTTTATTGTGTTTTGGTTTTCAAACATCCAAAGTATGTATAGTTTAAACTAACTACATAAATTTACTAGCAAGAAAATTACTTCAGGCGAATCAATGTCTTAAAATTAAACACCGTATGTCTAACACCGGATTTTAATCTAACACCGGATGTTTGGTAAAAATGCTCTAACTCTTTCTTTTGTTTTTACAAAAAAAAAAAAAAAAAAATTCATTTCAATTTTTAGGAATTGTTTACCGTTGCCACCGGAATTTATGCATTACAAAAAGGTAAAAACAACAACGCAGCTGAAGTAAACTTTCATATTGACAAATTGTTTAAGGTAAGCTACAATTTTAACACTAATAATAATAGAGAACAAAGTTTACACACGTATGAAACTGTTGTCAACTTTGCGTTTGTTTAGAATGTTTTTCTACAAAAGTTGCTAAAAAAAAAAAAATAATAAAATTACTTCAATTAGTTGAAGCAGTTTTTTTAATAGTAGGGTAGATTCGGGAAATATGAGCGATTAGAAAATATGAGCATACCGAAAGATTTCTAAGAAGTGAGTTGTGAAGTTCAAGTTGCTTTGTATTATTTGAATTGATTTTAAGTGGTGAATTAAAGGACGTAATAAGAGTAACTAGCTTAAATTTATACGCAGTAGTTAGCGGCTCTTATCTCGTCATTAGCGAAGTAGATAGCAGCTCTCATCTAATTAAATCGCTATTAAATTTTTTGTGTTGTCATTACACATAAAAGAATCGATGGCACAAAATTTTGAAAGATTTTATTTTTACTTTATTTAAATACACAACTTTTGTGTAATATTATTTAGCATATCCAAATTAGCCACTGTTTTTATTGAAATTACTTAGTTTAATGTCCTAAATTTGCGGTGGCTTTAATTTCTTTTTGACTAAAAGCAAAATATAGTAAAATTTTTAAGTGAAAATTTTTAATACCTTAACAATACCAAGTATCTTTCTTTAATTTTAATTCAAAAAATTCGTATTATTATCGTTTAAAAGTTTTAGTTAATGTAATTGAAAAAGAAACGAAATAAATTTTTTTTCCGCGCAAAATAAAGTAGTATTGTTTCCATTGAAAATGGCTTAAAATTTTATTATTTAATGATAATATTTTTTTTAATAACGAATCATTATATTCCACAAATTAGTTCTAATTGCCAGGTTATTATTTCTTTACTTAATGTTATTATTTTTTGAGCTAATTTAAAGTGCTCAGATAATCATGCGTTACCTAGGTAACATGAGTACAATCGCTACTTTTTTGAAACCTTTACTTTTTTTAGCAAAAACTTTCGGATGCCCCTAATATCTGAGTGGATCATGAGTAGCCATCTCTACAATGGATAAATTTGGAGCTATCATAACTATTTTTGGAAATATTACAATTAACGCTTAAGGTTCATAATACCCTTATGTACCCTAAATATAAAGAACAACTTTAATTTCAAACTTCGAATTTAGAAGTAGTAACTTCGCAGATAAAAAATAGTAAACTAAAGAAAGGAACGTTTTTTTTTAAGAAAAGTTTATTTTGCTGCGACACACGCAGTAACATCGAAAAAAATAAAAACCTACTTTTTTTTAGCAGTCAGAGAAGTTAGATAAGATAGTAAAATTTAACATTATTTTTTTAGAATTGCTCTGCTTAAATTTTTATTTAAATATAACTATCTTGTTTCTTTGAAGTTATATTTCTATGGAGTTTTCTTTATAGATGCTCGATGTAAATAATGACGGGTATATCAGCGAAGAGGAGTTTGTGGAAACATGTTTAAAAGTAAGTAAATTAAATAAATATTGTTTTTGTCTGAATTTTTATCATGAAATATTTATTAAAATTCATTTTTTATAAATGTGTGACAAATAAAAGTCAAGAGTTTAAGCTTTTACCTGAGATTAAAAAGAAATTTACCCAACCTCTAAAATTATCATCAAAAACATTAAGGGAGTTTTAAAAAAGGATTCAAATCCGGAACAAATTATTGATTAATACGCTGTGTCATTTACAAGCGCTATAGTGAATGTATTGGAGTTTCTTTACAGTGAAGGTACTAGAGTTTCTATTATTGTTAACATTATTTCAAAAGCTCAAATTGTTGCTGATATTTTTTGAAATAAGATTATAAATATAAAATTACAGTTATAAATATAAAAACTGCAAATATGAGAGCAAACCTAAGCTAGGTGTTGAAAATATATATATATATATATATATATATATATATATATATATATATATATATATATATATATATATATATATATATATATATATATATATATATATATATATATATATATATATATATAATAATAAAGATAATAAAGATGGAAATACCATCGCTAAACTTACGAAAATATAACTCAAAATTTTCAGCTTCAAACGACGTTTTCCGATTCTCATCGTCGATATCAAAACGAAAAAATTTGCAATTACATTTTATTAGTTTTTTTTTCCATATTATGATATATAACGTAACTATTATAGTAACTTTGCAGGCATAAATTGTTGTAGTAACATTGCTAACTTCATTTTCTTTAGTTACTTTGCTGACTTCTTTAGCAATAGAAAAACATCTTTCGCATTTTGCCTTCATTAAATAAGCTACAGAAGAATATATTTTTAATAATTCATATTTTACTTCATTATCGTAATTAAAAGTAATTCTAAAATTAAAAATGTTTTGTTAAAGATTCTTTGTAATACACTTTTTTTTTTTTTTTTGCGTGAAGCTTTCGTCAAGATAAGACACTCTTTTTTGTTTATTTTATTATTAAAAATCATTGGAGAGAAAACTGAAAAACTTAAAGGGAATAAAAAACCATAAAGGAGACAAACAAACTTAATGATAAACTAAAAAATCACATCAAAGAGAATGAAAAAAAGGACCATTTTTTAGCCAATTGTTGACCAAGCTCCCCCCCCCCCTCCATCTATGTCACCGGTTTTCTTTTTTCCCTATACCCCTCTTGAAAAGGACGTCATAAAACCCTGATCCCCCCTATTTTTAATCCCCCCAAAAATTATTTTATCTCGCAATGATCTTTGAATTTGCTGCTACACCTTTAACAAATAAAGTTAAAAATATTTTCATACATTATTTACAAGTTTTCCATCTTAATTAAACTAAAATTAAAAATCTATAAAGTGACGTTCTTTTCTGGCAACGTCCCCCCTCCCCTAGTCCTTTTTTGTCCTTTTTATCTTGACCCCTCCCCTCCTACTTGGACAACGTCCTTTATGGATGGCCCCTAATGCTTTGGAATGAACGGATATATCTCAACAACGACAAAGCGAAAGAACGATTGAAAAAAGATAAAAAAAATACTCTTCGCAAAAGCTAAAGAATTAAGGTCCTCAGTTATGCAAAAGTAGTCTATAACAAACTGATAACACGCAATTAATAATTACAATAACAAAAAGAAATTCTTAAAACCTGTACACAAGAAAAAATCTGTAACAAAATCGTTTTGCTTAATTTTGATTTATCAATTAGCTTCAGTCTTTAAAAATAAATTAAAAGAATTCATTCTTTTTAATGACAATATTTTAAAATACTATTAAAAGTAAGAGATTTATATAAAGATGTTCTTTTGTTTTTGTATTTTACTTTAAAAAGAAAAAGAAAATGGAACACTTTTTGGCAAAGCCAAACGAAATGGATTTCAATGAATCCAATATAGCTGTTACATGGAAAAAAATGGAAACAAACTATGCTATGTATCTAAACTATGTATCTAAAAGCAGCAATGACAAACAAATCTGAGGAAGAAAAATACGCGACATTCTTATTTGTGATCGGTGAAAAATACGTGACATTCTTATTTGTGATCGGTGAAAAATACGCGACATTCTTATTTGTGATCGGTGAAAAATACGCGACATTCTTATTTGTGATCGGTGAAAAATACGTGACATTCTTATTTGTGATCGGTGAAAAATACGCGACATTCTTATTTGTGATCGGTGAAAATTACGCGACATTCTTATTTGTGATCGGTTAGAAAAGAAAGAGAAATATTTAATACATGGACTTGGAACAGAACAGAAAATGATGACGGTGAAATCAATGACATTACGGTAAAAGAACTTTTTAAAAGATTTAAAGAATACTGTTTAACAAAAAGAAATCTGGTTTTGGAACGAAGAAAGTTTTTCTTACGAAAACAAGACGCCAATGAATCATTTGATTTCTTTATAACTGATTTAAAAAATCTGGCTCAAACATGCGAGTTTGAAAACATTCAAGATGGTCTGATATTATACAAAATAATTGACGGAATCAAATCAAACAAAGTCCAAAATAATCTACTTAGAAAAGGAGCGGATTTAACTTTAACTGAAGCGATTGACATATGCAGAGCTGAAGAAGTTGCAAATGCAGAAATGAAACAAATTACATACGAAAAAGATATTGACGAAGTTCATTAAACCAAGACAAGTAAATGCGTCAATTGGACAAATACCAAAATGGAGAAAGTTCTCGAATAACGAAAATGAGTCAAAAGGCAAACACCACGTTGAACCAAACAAACAGAACTGGAAACAAATCAATAATGGCTCAAATAAAAAACAACAACAAAGACAGTGCAAGAAATGCGATAGAAAACATAAACCAAGAAACTGTCCTGCATTCGGTCAAACGTGCCGTAAATGTAATAAAATAAATCATTGGGCAACTTGCTGCAACTCAAAAAACATACACAAAATTTGCGCTGTAGAAAACCATGTGGAATCTATATCATCTGGTGAAATGAATGGTAAAAATGAAGCTTTGATAATCTTTAAAATTAATAATAAATTGGTACGTGGTAAAATTGACACTGGAGCTGAAGTTGATGTTATGCCAAAAAGAGTCTACGACCAACTAACATCACGTGACGTTCTCACTTATACAAATGTTAAACTACGTGGTTATGGAGAAAATCATATTCCAGTGCTTGAAACATCAAATATTATGTGTTACTACAAAAGTCGTGAAAAGTTAGTTAAATTTTATGTAGTTGAAACAACAAGCAAACTCGTTCTTAGCTTACAAACTTCACAAGACCTCAAAGCTAAAAAACTACTAGATGAAGTAAAAACTGTAGACACGAACGAAGCTAAGTCGCAGCAAAAAGAAATATCTACTCTAAACAAAGTAAAACGGATTGAAGGAAAACAAGGAAAAGAGTTGAAAGAAGAAATACTAAAAATGTATCCGAAATTATTTAACGAATTAGGCGTGATTGGACCTGAACATCACATCGAGTTGAAGAATGACTCAAATCCTGTAATTCATCCGTCATGAAAAATTCCTGTAACTTTGAGAGAAAAAATAAAAACAGAATTGGATGAAATGGAAAAAACAGGAGTAATTACAAGAGTAGATGAACCAACAGAATGGGTAAATTCGCTAGTAGCCAAATGGACAACTAAGACTCTGTCTGGATCCAAGAGACTTAAGCATAGCTATAAAAAGAGAACATTATCAATTTCCTACTTTTGAAGAAATATCAACCAAATAATTTCACAAAACTAGACGCAAATAAAGGTTATTGGCAAATTCCACTGGATAAAGATAGCTTTATGTTAACCACGATGAATACACCATTTGGAAGATTTAGATCTACGCGTTTACCTTATGGTATACATTCGGCTCAGGAAGTATTTCATAAAAGAATTAATGTTTTGATGATCTTCATTTTGTGGAAACTGATATTGATGATATTCTGATATGGGGCACAAAAGATGTCACGATGATGTAAGATGTCACGATGAAAATCTAATAAAATGCCTAGATCGAGCTGAAAAAATGGGAATGACCCTAAATATTGAAAAATGCCAATTTTGAACACAAGAGTTGATATACTTAGGACACAAGTTATCAATAAACATAGTACAACCAGATAAATCAATAATTAAAGCCATCAATGAAATGCCAAAACCTGAAGATAAAATAGGAGTTCAAAGATTTCTAGGTATGGTAAACTATGTTGGTAAACTCCTACCTAATTTATCAGAAACAACGGAACCATTTCGAAATCTAATTAAAAAAGGAACACACATGCAATGGGGCAAAGCACAAGATCGATCCTTCAGAAAAATTAAAATAATGCTATGTTCGGACCAATGTCTTGCATTCTATGATATCCAAAAACCTGTAACAATACAAGTAGACGCATGCAAAACTGGTGTTGGGGCAGTACTTTTTCAAAATGAAAAACCAATTGCGTTTGCATCAAGGTCAATGACACAAGCTCAATTAAATTATGCAATCATTGAAAAAGAACTTCTCGCAGTACTTTTTGGTGTGAGCGATTACAATAGTATATGTATGGAAAAAAAGCAACTGTTAACAGTAATCATAAACCGTTGCAAATCATTATGAAGAAATCGTTAGCAAACACTCCCCTGCGCCTTCAGAGAATGTTATTAAGATTGCAAAAATATGATATTGATTTAATTTATAAAGCTGGTAAAGAAATGATTCTGGCAGATACGTTATCTAGAGCTCATACCAATGAAACTGAAGAAGAAATTCTGGAAGATGAAATGATCGCTCAAGTGCATATGGTTTATGCAAACTGTTCATCATCAGAAGAAAACCTCAAAGAAATGAAAATAAACATGCTCAAAGATATTATGTTAAATCTAGTAGCAAACTACATAAAAAATGGATGGCTGCAGGATAAAAGAAAGGTTGAAGACTCAGTAAAACTCTATTGGTCGTTTAAAGAGAAACCGACACTCATAGAAGGAATAATTTTCAAAAGAAAAAGAATTTTAATTCCAAC